TTTCCACCTTCTCTAAATCTCCTCGTCACCTGACTGGAAAGAACATTAGGGAAGCCCGAGAGAGGGCAGAAAACAGAGTGCTTGCCACTAAAGCTGATCTTGTGTCCAGGGCTGTGGGCCGACGTCACAGTGGTTCTTTGTGCAGTGTGGTGTGGAGAAATGGAAGGGCAGCAATAACTGGGCACCAGGATTAATGGGACTTGTGTGAGCCCGGGACTGGCTCGCCAGTCAGGCTGCAGTCTGAAAGCAGCTAGTAAACTCGGGTATTCTGGACAGCAGCGGACAGTGTCAGGAGGGTGGTCAGGGGGCCTGGGCCCAACTCCTGGTCACCGGGGGCTTTGTCTTCAGGCAGAGCTCCCCGGCCCCTCGTGGGGCTCTAAGGCCCCTCCGCTTCTGAGACACCACAATAGGGCAGAGACCCTGGCAAGCTTTGCAACCAGGTCCCGTCCCTTCTTACTTCTTCTCTTTGCATGCCAGCATGTCTCCTTCCCCGCTCCGTGTCCTTCCTTTCCTCTTATTTGATTTTGGCCATCCTTGGGCCAAGGACTACTAAATTAGATACTGTCCAAATTTCTTGGCTAACACTTTTCTAAGAACAGCAAGAGGTGTGCTTTAGAGCCCAGCCCCGGCAGACACACTGTCAGCTTATATGTGTTGCATACTCCTCCCAGGTCCCATCAAAGTAGCATTATTTAATCTCCCTTTGATGGATGAAAACCCAGAGGTTGAAATTTGCAAGCACTAACTGTATCTTATTTCATCTGCAACTTTCAGTTTCGTTATCAGCACCTGATGCCTTAAAAATTATAACAGAAAATGACCATGTTCTTCTGTTTTGGAAAAGTCTCGCTCTGAAGGAAAAGCATTTTAATGAAAGCAGGGTAAGTTCCTCCCTCGTTCTCAAGGACTCTGGAAATGCTGTTTTCGAGATGAGCTCTCTAGCATGTAGCATGCTGGCATAGATAAAGAAACAAGAAAGAATAGGGGGCAAGGAAGTGAACTTTTCTGTGGGATGGCTAATTAGGGAAATGTTTATACAGTCCACTAAGACGAGATCTCTGCACTAAGCACTTTTCATTTTCTGAACTTGGCTTCCCTGGTGGACGGGGAAAAGCGCTGCAGGCTGCCTGTGCCTCCTGGACCAGGCTGGGCCTGAGCTGTGGAGAAATTCCAGGGAGCATGAAGTACTTGAAGACAGTCTGTTGACCTGTGAAAAACAACTTTTTGTTTTGTTTCATTCCTCGCAGATAGTTACTGTATTCACAGTAGGCAATTGGAGAGGACAGGGACCTGGGAATAGTTGCCACTCCAGGGGGCTGCGTTGACCCCCCTCATCAGCAAATCGAATGAGCTAAGTAGAGTTGTACATCTCCTGCGTCTACCTCAAGGAATCTGCAGAGACACTTTGGGTCCCACATAGTCTGTGTAATGTCAGAAAAGGCTCACCACTCTGCCATGTAAATGGTTAATAAACTTAAATACCAGAAAGTGTTCAAATCAATTCAAAAAGAGAGAGTTTAATTTGAAGACAGTACAGTTCAACTTAAGAACATGACACAGAAGACAGGTTTGACCTCTCTAGTAACGTAAACAACAGAGATGTGACACTCAGCTGGCCACCATACTGGGGAGTCTGTTACAGCCCGAGTGATTGTGCGTGAGACTAGTCTGTGAGTGTGAATGTTCAACCTTCTGGAAGGCACTTTGATGATAGTTATCAAAAACCAAATGTTCGCCCTCTCTGGCCCAGCAGTTCCTGTGGGATTTGACTTCAAGGAAACAATGTGCATAGGGAACTTCCACGCGAGGCCCTCAGGGCAGCACTGTCAGTCGTAAGCAGAGGACTGACCTTGTGGCCAGTAGTCGAGGACTAGTGAAACCAGCGATGGATGGTTGATGTTTGTGTGACCTCAGTTTTTTTCTTTAAACTTCTCTGTATTTTGCAAATGGGCAACACCAAATCTGTATTCGATGAAAAACAGTAAGTGCGAGTTTAGTGAGGAGAACGCGAGGCTGGTGTTCCAGGCAGCTGGTAGTGGGAGCCCCAGTTCGAGGCAGTGTCCTCAGGTGCCTCTGCGTGGCAGTGAAGTCAGTGTTCCGGTCCCAGTGGAGGGTTTGACATAAGCATTGCACGTCTCCCTCTCTTCCTCTAAGTGAGTTTAGAGAACGGTCAGGTCACAGAAATGGGCACCAAGAGACCACGAGTATGTCCTGATGCTTGGTGTAAGGGTAGTGGCGTGGGGTAAGGCCACGAGGGGTGCATGTTGGTAACGTGACTACTTGAACGCTTGGATCGGGCAGTTGTCTGTCTGTCCGGCTCCCACTCAGCATGCTGGGCCAGAGCTCTCCCGAGAGACGTCTCCAGCATAGGCCTCTGCGTCATACTCGCCTCTAGTGACGAGGGCTGGAGCCTGTGGGAGTACTTCTGGCTTCAGGGTCAGGCTGGGCTGGGACGAAGCTAGAAATGGAGGAGATAGGAAGTGAGCTGTGGGCAGACTGTGGAATTCCTGCACATGGTTCTAAAGAGACATATCCTGTCTTTTCTAATGCAAGGTCCATTTTCTTAACCCTTTGCCCGAATCCATCACAATCGGGCTTTATTATTTAGTAAATAAACCTAGTCAAATCCCACTACAGTGAACTGTTGTTAATTTGTCTTGATTCTTTGTGGCCTTTAATATTGTTTGAGTGGCCTGCTGTCCGGAGCTTTGACTTTGGGTGAAAAGAGCTGTTAAAGTGACTTTTGTGAGGGCTATCCTTCATAGTGCCACTGTGTATAGTGTACCGGGGTGTGGTAGCTATTTGAGACATTTAGGATGAAAAAAACTCCCCCCCTTTTAAATCTAGTATGGTCAGGTAAAAACTAGAAAGAAACCCCAAATGCTTAGCAGCCATCAGGCCCGCATTAAGGAGCTCGCGTCAAGGTGGAGCCACTACCAGAAGCCGGCAGTTCTCTGTGTGACCGCCTGGGCCACCTCTGTGTTTATTTGCAGGGTTATGAGATCCACATGTTCGACAGCGCCATGAACATCACCGTTTACCTTGGGAATACTACTGATAATTTCTTTAAAATCTCCAACCTGAAACTGGGCCATAATTATACCTTCACTGTCCAAGCCAGATGCCTTTTTGGCAGCCAGATTTGTGGGGAGCCCGCTGTGCTGCTGTATGATGATCTGGGGCCCGGTAAGTCGTCGTTGCTGCCTGCTGCCCAGCTTGGTTCTGGGGAAACAGGCCAAGCGTAGCAAAAGGGGTGATGAACATGTGTCTTTCCAAATGCATTTAAAACAGTCTTTCAGTTCAGAAGAAAGTCATGTGTGTGCCAGTTGAAACTGATGGTGATTTACTGACGTGTCTATGAAACCAGGCCCTGCGTGAGGAGCTGGAATGATCAGCTGACCCCATTCTGTATATAGGGTGCAAAAAACAAAGTTAACAGGCTTGTTTAAAGGGGGAGATTCTCTTCAGGGAGCACTAGGTAAAGAAGAGTTTTGTCATTTGTTTTCGTAGGACTTTTCAAAACCTCCAAAGCAATATTCCTACGATTCTTCAAATCAGCCTTTGTCCTGACTATCTCCCAACATCTTCAGTGACCACCTCAGCTCAGGGCTGAGTGCAGCCTCGGAGCTCTGTTGTTCACACAGAAATTCTGCCTGGGGTGGTAGCAGCTTAGCCAGGATTCCAGCAGAGGTTGCTCCTTCTGGTCTTTGTCGTTCCTTTGACTCCTTGCCAGACACTCACCAGGGCCCATGCCAGTCTTGGGCTAGGTTGTTCCTTCTGTCACTTCCCGGACTGTGTTCCAGAGAAGACTTTGCCCTGCTGTTTCCCTTAAAGAGGGAGGCACTGCAGGCCACATCCCTTTGGAGAATTATAACACTGTAGAGGCTCTGAGAAGATCCTGCTGGAAACAGGCAGTAAGCTTGGTCACCTGTTGGTTCCTGATGAGTCTCCTTTTTTATGGAAGATCCACTAGCGACCTGTGAAATGGGCTTTAGGTAAACTCAGGACACTTGCCAGCTGCCTCAACAAAACTGGGATTCTCAGAACTCTCGGTTCCTAGGTGTTCAGCACCCTCCCCAACCCCCACACCCGTTTTACTGGGGTGGGGTGGGCTAGCTTCTTCTGAACTGCTGCAGCCGGGAGCAATCCCTGAACTTACCATGTCACTGTGGGCTCAACTGGGCACATGGGAAGTCTTGCTTGAATCTTTTCTGTAATGAAAGAAGTTTAAAGGAAGAGTGAATATTTTGTTGTTAGATTTGACTTGGTCTAGAGAGCAGTCACTTCCTGCCATCATTATGAGATGAGTCCTGTCAGGAGACTTCCCTGGGAAGCTACGGAGCTTTCTCTTCGAGGCAGTGCTCTGGCCTGTGCCGCCTTGTCCCGTGCCAGAGAACAACCTCAAATCTAACACGGGTGCTCACTTGAGACCTAGGCTTTAAAAAGTCCACTTTGCTTCCCAGGTAACACTGACTCCCGAGTTCCCTCCTCCTGCCTCAGGCGCTGATTTATCCCTTTCTCTTCTGTAAACAGCCTACTGCATTCAGGGAGCACTTTCAGGGAGACCAGCTGTAACCTAAGTGGAGGTGGCTTTGCCTGAGTGCTCTGGTAGAACAAATCTGTCCATACATCATCGCCACACCAGCATTTAAGTCATTGCTAGGTGACAACCC